CCTCGCAAAAAAACGGGAAAGGTATGGTCATCGCAACCAAAACCTGGATTCGGGAGTCGGTTACGCAAGGGGAAGGTATTAGCACCCCTCACGTCCGTCGTACTCGACGGGATCCACGCTTGCTTGGTTTGTCTAAAGGATGCAAAAACAATCTATCTACGGCTGCTAAATCTAAACGGAAGGGAATTGACTCGATAGAGCGTCGCACTCTACGCCTACGTATTCTCAAGAGAGAAAGTCAGAGTCAACGTAGTTCGGGACTACGGGGAAATTGGCTCGCCAAGACCTCGCGTCTTGTGCCTACGTACTTCCACACAGCATGGAAGATCAGAGCTTACGTAGTTCAGGCTAACTACGGCTAAACTGGGTGTTCTCACACAGCAGTGAGAAATTCAACTGGTTTTAAAGGTACGGGAACCTATAGGAAAAACTACGGTCTGGTCTCAAATGCACTCGGGCAAGAGAAAGGGATAACAATCAGTCGTCAGCAGGAAAGTCTCGATCGCACAGCAGCGAGAGAACAAAAGAGTTAGTTGTTAGTGTGCTCGCTAGGATATCGCATCCTATGCCTACATATTCTCGTCTGATACGAGAAATCAGAGCAGCTGTAGTTCGGCTACTTTCGGGACCACAACTCAAATCTCGTTTTATTAACATTCTGAAAAATGGTTACAATGATTGAGAACTGAAAAATAAACTCCTAAAACCCTATCCTATTCATCACGAAAAATCAAATGGAAAATAGTCCCCTAACAAGTGGACTTCTAAACTACTCCTAAAATGTAAAATAAACTCCTATGAAAAATATCTATAAAAAATATTGAATCTACAAAGTAATATTTTTTACTATTTTTCTTACTATTCTTTTTTCAATCTTTCATATATTCTTTTCTCTTTTTTTCCACAATATTTTTCATATTCAATATTTTTTCTAATATCTTTTTTTTTTATACTCTTTTCTTTCCTTTTCTTTTATTCTTTTCTCAATATATATTTTTTTACAATACTCTTTTCTTTTCTTTCATTAAAAAAACCTAAACAAATGAGGATAAGAAAAAATAATAAAAGAAATACAAAGGGGGTGGGGGTACAACTGAATACAGGGGATGTACAATAGTAAAAAAAATCCAGGCCCAGCCCACACTAAAAAAATATGCACACAGGAGAGGGGTGAGAAACAGGAAACAGAAGGTGTAGTCAGTAAAACACTAGGGCCCAGCCCAAATCCAGAATCACACACACGCAGGGGGGGGGGTATGAGAAGTAAACGGAAGGTGTAGTCCAAAAAGCTTCGTTGGGCTTAGAGGCCCACTAGCCACGTGAATCCACCATCCATCTTCAGCAAACCCTAATTCATCCATCTTCCGTCTTTCACTGTTCACAGCTGCGCCTCACAACCCTTTCTCCTTCTGATACTTTCTCTTGTTCTTCCTCAACCCCAGCTCCCTCTCTTCAATCTATCTCCACCTCACTCTCTCATCATTCACATCTCCACCCTAAAATCTTTATGAACCTCGTAATGGACAATGAAGTACCAACAACCAACAATAGATGCGCACGGATCCATGGTGTAACAATCAGAGGAATTTCTTGAAGAACTCAAGATCTGTATTCATGACGAAGATTAAGCGGTGACGAAGATCAGAGAAAACTCACAAAGATAGATGGAGGTCTACATTTGCGGACGTTCCTGGAGATGTTAGAAGCATTGAAGATTTCTTGTGGTCTTGACGAGGAAAATTCTGGAAATCTTCTGGAGTTCTACGAACATGCATGTGACGCTCTTGATGATGTTCATTGAAGCTGACGAACTGAGATGAAGTTCGTTCTTGAAGTTTCTTTTCTGGAGATGGATGACTAGATGATGATTCTTGGAAGAACTTGTTAGAAGATCTTGAAGAGAGTTCTGGGGATTTTCTTGAAGGTCGTTGATGAACCTGATGAATCTGGATGACTTCTGGATGACTTCTGTGAAGCGTTTGGAAGGACGTTGAGGATTGATGATGAACGGAGATGATTGCTGGAAAAGGTTGAAGATCCATGATGTTGGACGAATCTGGGTTGAAGATCGCTGATGGATTTGGTGAGAAGAACACACACGATGATTATTGATGAAGAACTTAGTATGAATGCATGAAGAATTTGGAAATAACGGTTATTGTTGATGAATTTCTGGGCGAAATTGATGGAGGAAGATGATGAATGCAGGTGGAAGTTGTTGAGAAGGAAAGTTGGAGGAGGATGAAAATTGGAAGATTTCTGAGTTTTTTTCCAGTTTCCGGCGGGTTAGACGGCGGCCGGAATTGGTTGTGGGTTGGTTACGGTGGCCGGAAGTTGGAGGTTGCCGGCGATTGGTAGTTGCGGTGGCCGGAAGAGGTTGGGGGCGGTGGTTGCATGGCCGCCGGCCATGCAACCGGCGAGACTCAGGTGCGGACGTGTGGCAGCTCTAGGTGGCAGAGGGAGAAGGAGGGAGTGCCAAGTGTGAAGCATGCGTGAGAGAGAGAGTTAGTGGAGTATGATGTGTGGCTCTGAGAGTGAAGAACGTGGCCTCCTCCTGAAGATAACACGTGGCTTAGCTTATATATGCTGGCAATTGATTTTTAGACTTGCGAACTTGGGCTTTTGACTGATTGGGCCCACCGAATTATACAATAAACCCCAAAAATCTGAATTGAAATGGATTAAAAAATGAATTAAAGAACCACCAAGCAGGACGAAAATTAACACTCACTAATTAAAAACTGCTAATTAAAATCTATTCTAATTAGTTCTAATTAAGACTAAACAAGGACTCAAATCAGTAATTAAATCCTAAACTGAAAATTAAGACTATCCTACCTAATTAAAGCTAATGAGCTCAATTAAAACCCTAATTAAATCTAAAAAAGGATTAACTATTAAACTCCATTAATATCTATTAAAAAAAACTATTAACTCCTATATCTAGATTAAAATCTATATCTAACAAATTTACTATATTAAAGAAAAATCTATTTAAAACTAATAAAAGAAAAATCTATTATTATTCTAAAAATGATTTTAAAGCTATTAAAAACATTAAACTCTATAAAAAAAATCTAATAATAGCTAATAAAATCTAGAAAATTCCTAATAATTCTAGAGGGAACAAAAATAGCACAGAACGACAAACAACACTGCAAGAGCGCAACAGGATAACCGGTAAAAATCAATGGACACCAAAATACCCCTAAAAATAACAGCGCGAGCTGAAAACACCGGGAAGAGCACGACTTCCCAAAAATACGACTCTACTTATCTAAACTGATTAAAAACACCTGAAATGCGAGGAGAGGGCTGTGATCCCGATAAAATCAAAATAATTGAAAAATGCACTGTATGCGATATGCGGATGCAGATGCAAGAATGCGTCGAAACATGAACCAAATGCGGGACCCGGTTGGTCAAATTTTAGGGTGCAACACCAATGCACATTCTCCTTTCTAGAGAGACAACCAGGAAGACCGAAGACTGACAAGGTAAACTGAATTCTTTTGTTAACATCAAATTCATTCCTTATGATTATTGGAGTTAACATCAAATGATTGAAATAATGACTGCAAATATGTGATATTTCACAATGCAAGTAATGTGCACATATTGATCCTTCAACTTTAGCTTTATTTTACACTGATCGCTTTGAATCACCCATGAATCTTTCGAAAAGACACATCCACCCGTATTGAATGGGGCCACCAAGATAGGCTTCATATGCAAGATGCACAGGTAGATGTTACATAGAGTCGAAAAAACCAGGTGGAAAAACCCGTCCTAACTTGCATAGAATAACTGGAATATTTTGGTCCAACTTAATGATGTTGTCGACTCTTAAAGTTGACACATACGTATCTCTGAAAAATTGACTTATTTCAATTAGCAGATAAAGCACATGGTTGGCTAGTGAACTGAACGCAATTGGAAGTAATCATTTTATGAAAACATGGCAATCATGGCTTTTTATTCCATGCAACTTCCTAGTTTTAGCGTCAGCACACCTTGCTAAATTTGAAGCATAACCATCGGGTATTCTCAATTCATTTAACCATCGACAAACCGCTTTAGCATCTTGGGAAGTTAGGTTGTAACAAGCCTTGGGTTTTAATAATTTTCCATTAGGTTGAGGCTTCAAATCCAAGTCTTTTCTATCACATAAAATTTCCATGTCCCTTCTAGCCTTCTCATTATCTTTTGTTTTGCCTTGAACATCCATCACCGTGTTAAATATATTATCAAAGAAATTCTTCTCAATCTGCATAACATCAAGATTATGTCGTAACAAATTATCTTTCCAATATGGGAGGTCCCAAAATATACTTCTTTTTGTCCAATTGTGTTTGACCCCATATCCTTGAATTTTGCATGCTTCACCAAAATCTGTGAATTTTGGCAGTTCAGAAACTCGACTCCATATTTCCTGATGGGGAGGAAAATCTTTTACTTATACATATTTTTTAAAATCAATCTTTTTTCTTCTAAAGACATGGTCTTGTGGTAGGAATCTTCAGTGACAGTCGAACCACGAACTTTTCCCCCCAAATTCCAAAGTAAAAAGCCTTTGTAAATTCCATGCAATGTGGACATCCCATTTTGTCATGGGTACCCCAACCAGATAACATTCCCTACGCGGGAAAGTTATTAATAGTCCACATCAAGGCAGCTCGCAAAGTAAAGTTTTGTTTGCTTAATATATCATAAGTTCATTCTCCAATCCACAACCTCTTCAAATCATCTATTAAAGGTTGTAAATAAACATCGATTTTGGCTTTAGGACTTGACGGTCCTGGAATGAGGCAAGTCAAAAACATGTATGGTTTTTTCATACACATCTCTAGAAGGAGGTTGTAAGGGGTTACGATAACTGGCCAATAGGAATATGCAATTGCAGATGCTTGGACATATGGAGTAAAACCATCAGAACATAATCTAAGCCTGACATTTATAGGTTCTGCAACAAAGTCAGAATGTACCCTATTAAAATGCTTTCATGCCTCACCATCAGATGGATGTCGCATAATGCCTGAACTTGTTTTGTTTGTATGATGTTGTGTCATTTGACTTGCACTGTGCATTGAAGCAAACAATATTTTTAACCTTGGTATTATCGACAAATAAAACATGGACTTCACTACTACACGTTTTTGTTTACGGTTAATGCCTTTACTACGAACTTGATATCTTGGACTCTTACAGAACTTACATTCCTCCAGCGCCTCATCATTAATACCATACTCATTTTCATAAAACAACATGCATCTATTTATGCAACAATCAATCTTTTGTACTTCTAAACCCAACTTCGACACCAACCGCTTTCCATCATAATAACTCGTAGGCAAGTTGTCATTCGTAGGAGTCGTATCCAACATCATTTTTGCAAAGTATTCCAAGCACTGATAAGGAACATTCCAATTTGACTTTGCGGCCAATAATCTCACACACATTGATAATTTTGAATCTGCCGACCCCTCAAACAACGGCGTATTCATTTCTTTCAACAATTGGTAAAATCTTTGTGCTGTGCTTCCCCATTCGGCAACTCTTCCCCATCAAAATCTTAAGGTTCATCATATGTCACATTTACTCTAAAGGCATTTCCAACCATATCATCGATCAGATTAAATTGTTCCTCAAATTCCATATGTGATCGACTTCTTGATGCGTGTGTATTAGTTGTCTCTGCATATACGTTACTCGACAGTTGTTCTCCACTATATGTCCAAATCGAATAATTTTTAATGAAACCCTTCCTCTTCAAATGACGTATACTTCCTCTGGGTGACTAATTATAGGTCTACATTCACATTTAAGACAAGGACATCTTATTCCTCCTTCACGTCGACAACATTCTTGAGAAAATGCCCACTTGATAAACCCTTTAACTCCTTCCTTAAATTTTGGTGTAAGTCCACGTCTGCCTGGTAACATTCTATCGTACATCCAACTACGATAGTAACGAAAATATTCCATACTGCACATATGTACTATCATTATATATCATTTTAATTAAAAATGAGATTTTAATATATGCAAAATAATATAGTTCTTTTCACATTGTTTTAAGCATAACTATATTTCTTACTATATCAAATACATATTAACCTAATATAAATAAAAATATTACTTCAATATTACTTCATATTGCTTCATATTAACCTAATATAAATAAAAATATTACTTCAATATTACTTTATAAATACATATTATACATTTTATAACTATACTTAACATGTATACTTACTTACACTATGCCAAAAAAGACCTTTAGCAGCGCTTTTTTTGGCCTTTAGCAGCGCTGCCAAAAGTGGCGCTGCTAAAGGTAAAGGCAGCGCTTATTTTATGGAAACAGCGCTGGTAAAGGCTCCCTTCAGCAGCACTTTTAGCAGCACTTTTTTAGCCCTTTAGCAGCGCTTTTATAAGCGCTACATATTCCCCCCAACCATCCCCCCCTTTAGCAGCGCTTTCACAAAGCGTTGTGTTAGAACCCACCTTTAGCAGCGCTTTTTCAAAGCGCTGCCATAGCCCCCCCTTAAGCAGCGCTTTTTAGAAGCGCTGTCTTAGACCCCCCCCCCCTTCCAAACCTATAGCAGCGCTTTTGTAGCGCTATGTTTGTAACCTTTAGCAGCGTTTTTTTGTAAAAGCGCTGTCTAATGTTCCAGATTTTAAATTTTTTTTTTTAAACATTCACCCTGTTTTTTATATTTACAAATAACCTGCTTATATTACACAAACCTGCTTATAATTCAGGCCTTTATTTCAACACTTTGGCCTTATATATACAATTCAAAACTTTGGCCTTAAATATACAATTCAAAAATTTGGCCTTATATATACAATTCAAAACTTTGGTCTTTAAGTATACATTATAACTCATCACTTTGTTCATAATCATTTTAATACACATAAACCTGCTTAAATATGTTACAACAAAATCCGATCCTCAGAATTACAACTTCACAAATACATTCAATTTACATATAATTAGAATTCTTCCAATCCGATAATTTTATACAATTCTCAACTCAAGAATAAATTGACACCATTCCTCTTTAATTTCTTCCAATCTTGCTTTCGTGTAAGTAGCGCACTTGAATTCATCAAAATACTACATAATATAAAAGAACATGCAAGATTTAATTTTAAAACTAATTACTCAGATGAAGTATCGGATAATTATCAAAATGAATCATATAACTTATATAATGAATTGATCCATACCAAGATTGGAATCTCAAGTTGACCAGAAAGAATAATTTCCTTCATAAAGCGCAATACAAAATATCCGCAGTCAATCCCATTGCGCTGACGAGGACACTGTAAATGGAAAAACAAACGAAAATTTATCAAGATATATAGTTTAAATAGTTTTATCAAGTAGAACTAGTATAACAGTCAAACATGGGAAAATATACCTCCACTCTGATCCAGTTGATGTTGTTAGCCTTGCTTTTTGGCACCGTTGCATCTCTTTGTGCTTTGAATATTTGTATAACTCTAACATAATATAAACGCATATTTAGAACAATGTCACATAATAAATAAAGATATATAATTAAAGACAACAGTATATCTCATCACTTACGTATCAACCATGTTCCTCAGATTTTCATATTTTGTTGTATCGCCATCCAATGAATCTATATAATACACTGATCGCGACTTTCTATGTCTAACAATTCTAACTGCAAGTGCACAGTCTATCGCGTAGTAATAAAAGATATCGATCCCACAGGGACTCGTAATCAAACTAGTGTTCTCGGGAGTTACTATGTTTAGCTAGGTAGAATAAGTTTTAAGGGAATAAGATTGTCACTAAAAGGGGAAACTAAGATTACTATTTAGATTTTAATTAATTGAATCGATACGTAGTAATTATGTTCTTCAGGGATTTGATAAGTTACTGGTGTATGAAATAGTTTTCACAGTTTATTTAAGCAGAAAGTGGAGATTTGAAGACTCTCGTCTCACGATGGTTATTGACGCTAATCATAATCCTAAGGGCCTAACGTACACTTTCGTGTTCCGTTCGGGGTTAAAATTACTTTTTGGAAATCTCTAAGTTCTAATTCGTTTTAAAGTGCTTTCGCTGTTATTAAAACAAATGCCTAGTGTTTACTATCTGACCTTACTGCAGCTTTCGCTTGTTGGTTCGTATCTTAATTAATTTCCCACTTTCGTGGCAAAACTACTTTAAAATAAGTTCTCGCTTTCGCGACGAAGTTTATTTCATAAATCAATTTTTAAACACTTAGACCATAAGTTATTTTTGTGAAAAGAAAGTTTTCAAACAAGAGTTATCAAATCCCATTCGAATTATTACTACATATCGATTACCTAAGTTTAGCTAGACATGGAATTTGGAAAAGCAAAACATAAATAATAATAATAAATAATAAATTGCATTATGATAAAATAGAAGTCGATCAAAATGAAAACCTGTAAATAATGCCAATTGGCCTTTGGGCAGATCCTCCACAGATGTTGGCAGGATTCTGACTTTAGTTCCAATTTGATCGTACAGTGCAGTAACAATTACAGAAGAGCGGAAATGGGAATGAGTAGAATGGGAAGGGAAATAAAGGAAAAGGATACAATTGAAACTGGAGAAATGGATACAAATAATAAAAAGGCTGGAAATTAAATTTGGCAGCACTTCGTGGTATGAATGCAGCTCCCTTTTTGAAGTCCCCTGCTTCCCTTTTTATAGAGGTGGAATTCCAACGGTTACCTCTGAGGACGATGGACCTTGAGGCAGATAATTTAGGGAGTGGTGGACCATTTAATGGGAATTGGAACTTCTCTTTTGACGTGTAATCTGAGTGGGGCGTTTTTGCCTGCATGACGGTCGTCACAAGGTGTGACGGTCGTCACCCGTGTGACGATCGTTATGCACGAAAATATCTATATGATTTCGTGTTATCAAACTCCCCTAAGCTTGAATCTTTGCTTGTCCTCAAGTAAAACGTGAAAAAGTCGGCAAGCACGAGGCTGCTTCTTCGTTCGCAGAGTTTGGAAAAACCGGGATTCTTGGTAGGAACAAGACGAGTATCGCGGCGACACTGGACTACAAGTCTCCGGAGGTCTCCCTTTTATTGCAAGTCGGTCTCAGTCATGCTACCGTATCTTGGTGTCAAGGTTCTCGCGGAAAGTTCACCCTGTTTATTCTAGCGCAATCACATTAAGCCCGTTGTCCGCACACTTTCATGGCAAGTCGACCTGTTAGTGAATATGATCTCGTTTTTGTTTTTGATCTTCTTCATTGATCATAATTTGGTGTCATTGATCTTTCAATGGGTTTTTCGTGCCGTTGGGTTAAATGCTCGGGTGAGGAGCACCTAACTTAGAAGGAGACGAATCTTATATTCTTGGGCTTTTTAGCTCTCTTTTCATGATTCTTCATCTTTTTGGAGATCATACACTTATTCGCATCGGTCACTTGCTTAGAAGTGTTTTTAGGATGGTGCTGACTGCTAGTATAAACTACTTGGGGTTGAGTTTGCGTAGACACTTGAGACCTTGGTACACGTAGGTGGTGAAACCGACTCGTATAAACTAGAGATCTAAGGTGTCTGGACGATACTGGTTTTGTTAGAAATGTCGTTTCCTTGGAGTTTCAAAACTCGGTTAGAACTCAGGTGCATTCTCGTGATGCTTTTGCTTTTGAGGAACAAATGAAAGTTTTTGTTTACGTTGAATAATGTGGGGATAGTTTGCGTAACGTGAAAAATATATAGACGCACTTTATTTGCTAGAAATAGAAAGTGTAAAATAGAACTTACTAAAATTCAAAAAGTGCAGTGAAATGGAAATACAGTGAATAAGGGAAGTTCTGAATATAGTGGGAATAAGGCTCCGCTCCCACACTATCTCGATCAGTGTCCTCACTGATTCTTGAAGCATGCGAGAGGGAGATACAACTGAAAATGAAAATACAAAATACTGACATATAGTAAACAATAAAGGAAAAAATGAAAATCTAGTCCCGGGGCCTGTCACGTCCGTGCTGGCGTCCTCTGGCTCTAACAAGGGCGACTCTATCCTCATAGCTCATGGCTCCGGTGTGGTAGACCGTGTCGCGGAGGCCTTCGACCTGCAGGGTCAGATTCGCTAGACTCTCAGTGATCGTAGCTTGGCCGGTGTGAAGTTGTTGCATTTGAGTCTGGTGCCAAGCTTCGAACTGGTCAGCTCGCTGGTTCTGCTGCTGCAGCATCGTGAGTATCTGTGCCTGCTGGTCTAGGGAGCGACGGAGGTCCTCTTCGGTGTAGTCGGGCACGGGATGGTGACGGCGGCGGCGGGATGATGTACCTACTGGAGGAGGAGGCTGCGATGCCTCTGGCTGCTCGGACCTGTCCAACTCAGCTTGGATTTCATCTTCGGAATCATGAGTGGGTTCCTGAGTAGGAACAGCGGCAGCAGGAGGGGCAGTGAGGTCGAACAACCAGTT